TTCAAAACTTTAGGATTTTATTAAAATGGTGTAACTCAAAAAATTGAAGTCGGAATCAGCTCAAACTTGCTACATAGCAAAAGGACATCAATATGTATCAAAAAATGTGATAAAAACTTGGGCCAATTTTGGAGCCATTTTTTCAAAAAAAGTTTGTGTACTATAGTACAGGCAGGGCCATTGGCCAAGTTCTCTACTTTTATAATTTTTTCTGATTCATATACATGTTCTTATGTTGTGTAGAAAGTTTGAGCACATTTTGATCAAAATAAAATTTTTTTACAAATTTTAAAAGTTGCTAAAATTTGGCAAAACATAACAGGACAAACATGTACCAGTACATGTATATACCACTGACTCAGTCTGACTGTGTGTCCTAACCTTATTGTATTGTACCAAACACACAGCTGTACGAGAGACCAGAGGAGGTAGGGGAGGGGCAGGATGAAGAGTGGAATAAAGTACCTCAAGATACTTTGAGTCTCTGGGAATGTGTCACGTAAATGAAACACATACAATGTATTTTCTATCAACACTCTAAATAGTGAGAGACATGGAGATAAAGGATTACATGTACTTGTACATATGTATATTTACTTTTAATAATTCAAATAATAAATGAATTTTCCTTATTCTTTAAAAAATTTCTGATCATAATAATAGTAATATTAATAATAATAATAATAAGAAGAAGAATAACAACAACAATAATAACAATAATAAAATAGAAAAATAACTACATACATGTAAACCACTATAAGAACTACATTATACCTAAGAGAAAATAAAGATGCCCTCGGACAATACTGGAGGGGGAAGTATCTAATATAATTCAATATTTCTCAGCAAAGCTCTTCCCAAAATCCTAAAATGAATAAAACAATGAGATGCAATCATATTAATTGGTTCATTTGTTTAAATGGATATAACTCAAAAATTTTAATCAGAATCAATTTCAACTTTTTAAATGCAACAAAAAATGGAAATGATTTTGGAGCCATTTTTTGAAACAAAGCATGGACGATAGTCCATAGTTTTTAGTACAGGCAGGGCTGCCAATAGGCTATGTGAGGCCCAGGGCAAGACTTTGATTGGGCCTATACAGGTACAGGCCGACATATCATACATGTATATATTTCAAAAATTTGTATACATGTCAGGCTTGGGGTCAATTGCAATTATAACTGCAATTACAGCATCAATTACAATTACAGTGCGTAATTGTAATTGTAATAGAGGATATGCGTGCTAAGTATATTCATAGCAAAATAAATGTATTCATTGCATACCGTAATAACTTTAAAAAAAAAAATTAGTTCGTTGGACGTCAACTTTCCATTGGCAGCAATGGAGAAAAGATAGAAAAAGGCTTGGTACCAGAAAACCGCTCTGTATTTCTTGATAGCAATCTTTTAGGTGACTACTAGACCCCATTAGATCCTCAGGATGCTTTCTAAGCTTCCGAAAAAGGCCTCAAGAAGGTAGCAAGGCAAGAAAATGTGTTTTCCCCCATTGAACTCTTAATAAACTTGACGTCCAACATGGCGGCCAATTTACTGTGTGGGTTGGATATACGGTACTTAAAAGCTATGAATATACTTAGCACGCATATCCTCTATTGCGTTATACATATTGTAATTGTGTAATTGTGCCTATAATTTTACTTTGATATCCTGTACCTATATCAGTCCTCTAGAGTGAATTTTCAGCATAGTAAGCCTCATTAATGTTCACTGATTAAAAAAACTTTAAAACTCAATGCAATGTGGAAAAACATCATTGTAATTTTTGTCATGATACGGGTAAAATTATGATCATTGTAATTAATGCTGTAATTACAAGCTATTGCCATTGTAATTGTAACTGAGTGTCTCATCTATGGCAGGAATTGTAATTGTAATTGATCTGGTTTTAGCTGCTTTGGTAGTAATTGTAATTGTAATTGAAATGAAATTTTGTATGTATAATTGACGTCAAGCCTGATACATGTATAGGTACATTTAAACTACCTCCTCTGCTATTTTGCTATTAGTAACTCCATCGTTTTCATCATCAGCATTCTCT